GATTATTACTCGTTCGTTATCGTATCGGAGTTAATAGATCGAGAGACGGAATTATCGTCGTATCTATCTTTTAAAGAATCGAATAGTCTTCGTAACTAAGTAACTTTATTTACTCTTAAGGGTCTTTACCTAAAGTATTCCGCTATATTTATCTTTAATAATATTACGTAAAACGTAGACGTCTATATTCACGCTTTACGGTATATAGGCTTATATAGGCTGGTTTAATTACTACGTAACAAATAACAAGTATTTATTTAGAGCCGTCGTATCCTTCCGGAAAGTTAAATAAATCCCAATATATATGTTAAAAAGGACGTAGCGAGCGATGTAATAATAATCGGCGCGAGATTACTCTCTTGCTTATCGTCAGTCTATAATACTCGTCCTCAAGCGTAGGCATATCGTTAATCTCGATATTTTAGGTATGCTTTACGAGTACTCTAAGCGTTTCCGGGCTAAGGTACCTAGCTCTAAGGTACCAGAGTTACTCGGAGCCTTTTCTCGGTTTTATTTAATCTCTCGATTTTCTTTATCGGGTCTTTCTTTCCTTAATAATCGGAATAATAACGAGCGATATTACGCTATATGGTATTATTATAAGCGTACGTAGCGGTATTACGGGAAAGACTTACGAATAAATAGAAAATTACTTAAATTTAAAGAATATTAAGTTATAACGATATTCGAGCTTTTTTATAATAAACCCGTTCTTAATCGATCCCCTACGAAAGGAGTAATTAAGACCATAGTATTAGATATTAATCGTAAGAAGCTTTACTTCGGAAATAATGTTAATATAAAAATATTTAACGAAAATAACGTCTTTAAGCGTAAAGTCGATCGTAAGCTTACCCGACTTATCCTAAAGGTAGTTCTTAATAACGCGAGTATTAATACTAGTAATAGAAAAGCTCGTAGTATTAGCTTCGATAGTTTATAGGTCTTTAACGGTAGCGAACGAGCCTTTAACTAATAAATTCCGGTTATTAATAAGATAAATAACTCCATAGTTATCGAAGATAATACTTTTATAAAGGAGGTATCGTATTAGATCTATAATTAAAAATACCCCTACGCTAGAGGTTATATAAATAATACGTAGGTCGATTACCGTTACGTTAATATTACCGGATTACTTATTATTCTTATTACGCTTATTCCGAGGTAGATTAATTCCGGAGGAGTTACTTTAATTAAGAGCGGTAACCTTTTATCCGTCGCTTTTAATAAAAGCTCGGAATAAGGTAAAGTCGCTTAAGTTATACCGTTATTTAATAATTAGTTTTACGTCGTCGGATATATGTAAAATTTATCGTAGCGTTTTACCGGTAATAACGAATTAAAGGTTAGCGTATACCTCTGGAGCCTAACGGTATTATTTATTATATAGATACTTATTAGCTTTAGCCTTATCGGTCGAGCTATTAAAGTTACTAAAGTTATTAACATTAATTCTTCCGGTTTTATATCTTAAAGTAGCTCTTTAATACGTAGTTAAGATATAAAGGCCCGATTTATCTATCTTCTTATTCTCGGTAATAAAAGCTCCGAATACTTTACCTAGCTTTATAAGGAAAAGTAGTTATCGTTTAAGCCGGTCCGCTATAATTAATTTAATAATCGTACGAGTAGCTTAGTTTAAAGCGATCTTAACTCTAATAACTTCGAGGAAGTCCTTCGTTCCGAATACGTTTCGGATCTTGTTAATATCGTAAGCGAAAGCTCGGTAATAAGCGTTATTTTAAGCGGTAAAGAATTACTCGCCGTAAAGGATACCCGCCGTTACTTTCTATAGGACCTCGCGGTACTCCTAACGAACGAACGTTTACGTAATAATAAAGATAGGAGTAAGGTAATTATAGAATAGTCTTACGGTATTTTAAACGTTCGGCTTAAGTCCTTAAGCTTTAAATTATATATCGACAAACTCGAGGTAGTTAATAAAAACTAAGGATATAATTTAATAATAAAAAGCTCGGTAACTTTTACCGGCGATAATAGCTTAAGACTTTTAAAAGCGACTTTATTCGAATAATTACTTATATTTTTTAATAAAGAAGTAACGTAGGTTTTCGATTAAAGCTTTTAGCTCTTTTTTACGAGTCTTAAGATCTTCCTTAACCTATTCGTAGAAAGCTAAGAGGTACTACTTCTTCGCTTATTTCTTTTCTTAAGTAATAAATTCTTTAAGCGATAAGAGTATCGCCGAGCTTAGCTTATAATCGTTCGTATTAAGGTTAATATCCTTTTAAATATCGAATTATTCGGCGTATTTCTAAAAAGCTATAAACTATCGTAAATATTCGTCGAAGTTACGAAAGTTAATATTAATAAGTAGCTTTTTAATAGAGAAGGTTCCGCTAGTATTAGTAGTTATTATAGATATATTATTCGAGAGAAAGACGAAAGCGTTATAAACGAGAGCGATATTTAAGAGAAAAACGATTAATCGAGAGATTAAAGAGATAGAGATAAATAATAAGATTACTCGAAAGCTTATATAGTAAGACCTTAGTTAACTTAGTTCCTTAGAAGGGCTACTAGGCTTATAACTATTACGTAGATCGGGAGAGCTACGTAGGTACTAAGGTTGTTTCTTAGGAGTAACGGAAGGTAGGAAGAAGAAGGTAAATTAACTAACTATTTAAGGAGGAAGGAGATAAATAAAGGAGATACGAGCTACCTATATATAAACGATAGGAAGCTACGAGCTATGTTATATAAGCGAGCTAGGAGCTATGCTAGGTAAGCGAGTAACTAGAGAAGAAGTAAGGAGCCATGTATAGGTGGCTCTCTACGTGATATTATAGTTATAATTACAGTTAGAATAATACCCGGAGACCCCTCTTGTCGCCCTCGCCGATATATAGTTAGTAGGAAGAGCTTCGAGAGCCCCTAGAACTACGTACAGAGAAGGGATCGAGGGTTCAGGGAAGCCCGGTAGATACTACTAGACGAATATAGAAATAATCAGAAATAATCATGTATAAATAGGATATATTAATTAGTTTATAGGATTAGGATTAGTTAAAAGGATCAGTAATAGTTATGAACGAGAAGGACGGAGATTACGTTGTATCGTAAGGGATTATTTCTTTTGTTTCTTTTAGGAACTACGCTTATTTTACCTACCCCGTTACAGTTTCTATTTTCTGACTATTAATTCCTGTTATTTCTTAGGAGCCCTTTAATAGAACTAGCTTGCTCCTAGTTAATTAAGGTTGATTAGGAATAAGTCGATTAGGTTAGTTATAGTTATAGCTCCGCTAGTCTAGTTGTTGTTCTTATTAATTGATCTTTCTTGCTATTTCCTATTAATCGTTAATTAAACTGGCTTAGCTCCTAGTTAGTAGCGATTAAATAGGTTCGGGATTGATTAGGAATTAGGTATAGTTAGGTACGGTTGCAGTTACCTACCCCACTACCTACTTGTTGCTATTGCAATCGCTCCCAGTTGGCCCTGTTTCCTGACTTATCCTGTTGGCCTTTGATTGAACTAGCTAGCTTTTAGTTGATTAGGGTTGATCGGAATCAGGTTGATTAGGCTCAATAGGAAACGAGGGTCACTGCACCTGTTATTACTATTAGGAGTTTAATTGCTCCTTACGGATTAATTAAATTAAGGAGGCTATAGTAGTGCGGTGGATCTTGGCTACGTAGCCTTTTGGATGCGTATTTATATAAGTCGCATACTTATATTTTCATCAGTTAAACTTAGACTTGTAGCCATTACTAGTTACAGTATTTACTGTAGTGGTGCGGTGGATCTAGGCCACGTAGCCTTTTCGATGTGTATTTATATGGGTCGCGCACTCATATTTTCATCAGTCAGACTTAGACCTGTGGACATCACGACCTACAGCCATTCACTCCTTTTGCTATGCCTTTCTAGCTATCCTCGTTGCCCTTTTCCAGTTCCCTTTCCCAGCTGCCGTTTTCAGCTGGCCGATCAACCGATTACAGCTATTTACAGCTGTGATCTTAGTTGATCGGCACTGGGCCAGTTGTTGGCAGTTGGGTAGCCGTTTTCGTGCCTCCGTCAGCGTGCCCACGCTGCTCCTGTTCATTACTCGTTTCTTGCTATGCCTTTTCTCGCTCTTCTTACCCTTCCCATTCTTAGTCCTTTCCCAGCTGCTGTTTTCAGCTGGCCGATCAACCAATTACAGCTGTTTACAGCTGTAATCTAGGTCTGATCGGCACTGGGCTGGCTGTTAGCAGTTAGGTAGTTGTTCGTGCCTCCATTACAGCGTGTCTACGCTGCTCCTGTTTAGTACTTTTGCAGAAGAATTACCCTTGTGAATTAATCAGTATGACAAAGAGTTTAACGTATGATAACTATCCTCCGGATAGGATAATACATTTCTTTATTAATATTTCCCTTAGCTTATACGTTGTTATTACTTATTAACACAAGCTTTTATATATACGCTTTTATTACTTTTATTATTTTACTAAAGTTTTAGTTAAAATAACATCTTGTTTTCCTATTTACTATCAAGTTACTCGTAAAATAATACTTTATATATACTTTTACTTCTTAATATATATTTTAACTTAGCTATATACTCTCAAAAATAATTAAATATATTATATTTACATGAGGTAAAAATAGAATACTTTATATATTCAAGTTGAAAGATTATTCTTTAAATTTCAGAATAATATTTTACATATAAAATTTTATATGTAAATAAAATTATAAATATTTATAATAAATTAGAATTTTTTAATAATTCTAAAAAGTAATGAAGTATATTTAAATAATATTTCAATAAATATAATTATAAATTGAAGTTCTAATTCTATATTTATAGTTAGTAACTATTAATCTTTTAGTAAACTAAGTAGCAGCCTAGGGAAGGCATGCCCTATAGTTACGTAACAGGTATCCCTCTATCAACTACTCAACACGAATTCCACTAGACGCGCTAGTATCAAGTGAAGCGCGTCTTGCTGGTGGAGCACAAGCAGCTGAAATACGATCTGGATCATACAACATGGCGGAGATAAAATTACAAGAGTTGAACGACTTGTTCCTTGGAACGAACAAGATTCTTGAGCCTGATGTGGTCTCGGAGCTTCAATCCATTATGCAGATGCATTCCCTAACCGCCCAGGACCTGTACTTCAAATGGGAGTCGTACTGCATCAAGATGGATATGGATGGGAGAAGCCCATCCGTAGATGACCTTCGAGCACTCAAACAAGACATTCTAGATGCTTTGGAACGAAATAACCGGACGCATCAGGTTCATGTCAAGTCAGAGAAGCGCCTCGGGGGGGCAACTCGTACTACTGCCAAAGGTGATTCAGGCGTCTATAGAATGTGAGCATCTGTCCCTACGTGTATTCACCTATCTGATGCGGCCTGCTACATGACTATAACTAACTAATACCGCGGCAGGTTGGAGGGGATGGTTCCTCATGCCCTTGGCAGCAGGAGTATTAATAATAATGCTTCCCAAAGGCGGGACCAGCTTGAGGGCCCTTCCGTAACGCGGGTCAGAACCAACATCTCCGGTATCTCTCCTGGCCAGAAGACCCCTCTGCGGACCGGAATCCAACTAAAATCTGTCACTGCCTATTCGTGAGTTGTAGTGAACTTCTAACCACCGCTCACAGCATACTAAGACATACCAGAGATGCCTCTGTTAACGATCGCCGCAACCCCGGCGAAGTTTTGGAGGTATTGAATGGCCACCTCGACCTACCTGAGTCGCCTGTGGTGCCTTACGGAGAGTCGCGGATCAAGCTTACCGCAACCTCAGACCAGAGAAAGTTGGGCTACAAAACCCTGGCGATGAAGTCTTCAGAAGCATCCGAGATCCTCGACGACCGGATCGATGGATTCGAAGCTATGATCAAACGGGGTCAAAATATTGACGAGAGCGAATTTGGCAGTGCAGCTAGCCAAGGCACTACGGGAATTGTTGCCGTGGGTCGTATCGCGTCGGATTCTTCTGAAGGCAAACTTAACGTCGCGTCTCTGGTCCTGGAGACGTCGAGGCACACTGGAGGAGGTTTAAGGGTACCTCTTAATTTGCAGAAACTGAACGGCCGCTACCAGTTTTTCCCAGGACAGATTGTTGCGTTTAGGGGTATAAACACGTCGGGTCGCGAGTTCATGGTCCAAGAGGTACTCGCAATGCCTTTGCTGCCTAGTGCTGCATCCACACCAGCAGTTATCGAGACGCACCGAGATAGGCTTAGAGGTGGCCTGGACGCGATGCACTCGGACGGCGAGCCGGCACCATTGAACATATTCTTTGGCGCGGGTCCCTATACATCCAACAGCAATCTCGATTTCGAGTCCCTACACGCCCTCTGCCGCCAGGCGGCGGACTCGTATGCAGACGCCTTGATTCTGACAGGTCCCTTCATCGATATCGATCATCCTCTCATCTCCACCGGCGATTTTGACCTCCCGGAGGATGTAGCCATCGATCCCGATGTGGCAACGATGGCCACCATATTCAAGTACTTCATTTCCTCGGTGTTGAATCGGCTCGTGGCATCGAACCCGACCATCACTATCCTCTTGGTCCCGTCTGTGCGTGATATCATCGCGAGGCATGTGTCGTGGCCACAGGAACCCTTTCCCAGAAAGGATCTAGGGTTGGTTAAAGCAGTGCGGATAATTGGGAACCCGATGACTCTATCCATTAACGAGATGGTGCTCGGGATCTCCTCTCAGGACGTCCTTTGGGATTTGCACCAACAGGAGCTTACGGGCGGACGGCCGATCGATCCCGATCCGCTCTCGAGGGCCTCCAGATACTTAATCCAGCAGAGACATTATTTCCCTGTCTTCCCTCCGGCAGATCGGCAGAAGCTATCAGAGGCCGGTGCAGCAGAGGGCCTGCCGATCGGTGCCGTGCTCGATACGAGCTACTTGAAACTCGGCGAAATCATTGATGTGAGACCTGACGTCCTGATTTTACCAAGTGCCCTTGCCCCCTTCGCAAAGGTAAGATGGTGCCGAGGTGTGCTGAGTACATTTCCACCCACTAATGACTGCTAGGTCGTGGACAGTGTCCTGGTTATTAACCCGGGCTACCTTTCGAGGGCGGAGAGCAATGGGACATATGCTCGCATGGTTCTGTATCCGCCCAAGCTGATGACCCAGCAACTAAGCAGTGGGGGCATGGCTAGTCACAGGGTATTCGAGAGAGCCAGAGTCGAGATTGTGAGAATATAGATGCCCATGTTTCTGGGCTGTTTGACGGGTGTACCGGGAAGCGACTGACCTCGCGTATCTAGATAGGTGGCACCAATGTGTGGCCACGAACATGTCGGTCAATTACTCATGGCCTATCTCTACCTATGTTCTACCCTCCGTCTCCTTTTCTCGTCGGGCTGATCAGTCTCTGGCGGCCAGTCCCTCTTTCGCCGGCTGTTGTAGTCCTGTTTGTCATTTCTCCGGGCGGACGTGGATCTTGATCTATCCTCGCGACGACTTCCTCGCGGGTGACTCTCACGAAACCCATCACCCTGTCTCTGAATTGGCTTTCTGTCGCCGATGGGTACGGCATTTGCGCCTCCCAGAGAAGCCTCGCGATCGGTCTTGAATTTATCGTTAGGCATGTAAAAATCAAGCGATCTGGCCAGTCTTGGGTCGCGAATCTCCCCCCACCGACCCGTGTCCTCAGACTTGAGGTCCTTGTACTTCGTCGCCCCTTTCTTTCCAAGTTTGGTCATATCACGCATCTGTAGCGCTTTAGGGAGCAGTTCGCGATTCTTGACATCGTCGGCGAAACGCGAGCCCATAATATCCCTCTTGGCCAGGCCTTCAGCCTCCGCTTCGTATCGGTAAAAGGCGCCCCCGTGGAAGTACTTCTGCATATACGACATCTTGCCCTTCGCGTCCTTCTCTTCCTTCTGCTTCGTGAGGAAAATCTCGTCCTCCGCCTTTCGTTCCTCCTCTGTCAGATTTCTCCGGCGTTCAACCTCAGCCTTGTCCTTTTCGCGGGCCTCGATGGCCTCACGCTCTCGCTTGATCCTTTTTAATTCACGTAGTTTCCACGCAGCAAATTCGGCTTCCGGGTCAATATCATCTCCGGTGTCGACATCATCCTCTTCATCCATAGCATCGTCCCAATGCCTTTTCCCGACCGCGCGGGCGGCCACATCTCTGCGCATTTGCTCTTCAACTATCTCATCAATAGCCTTCCTCCTGCGAGTCTCTTCGAGAATCAAAGAAGATGTCCCCGGGTCGTTGATGAAAGTTCCGATCCCGTTTGCGTGTCCTTGTCTTTCGGTTTTGGGCACAAACCTAGGTTTTAGCATTAGTGGCCTCGGGGCCTCTTCATCGCTGCTTTCTGCTTCGTCCTCTCGGATATCATCACTGGTATCTTCTTCGTTGTCATGGCTGTCTTCTGTGATGAATCCCTCATCGGTCGCAGGCCGCGCGGCTTTCGCAGCCTCGAATTGTCGAAATCCCGTCTCCTGTGTTTCGTCCCGAGTCTTGCTACGCTCTATATTGTTTAAGTTGCTAGTAGATTTTCCGACACCACGTTCTTTTGGCTGTGGTGGAATCTTCCGCTTCGTCTGTTGTGGCTCCGCAGGGTCGGTATTGGTTACTTCTGAATCAGATTCGGACGATGAATATGCACCGGTTGGCTTCCCGGCGCGGTACCTGGACGGCCGCGCCGGATTTGCGGTCATGCGTTTAGACAGCATTATGAGAAGTATTGGGGGGGGAGACGAAGGAGGCGAGGCATGGAAGAGGTGGCTTGTAGTATTCATATGTTCCGTCCTGGGCAGCTTAGGCACAAGCTTAAATAAAAAAGGAGGATGGAGTCAATTAATTAGTCGACTGATTGGCTGGTATTTAAACTTGAGTAAAAAAGCTAATATTAAAACGGTATATTTAAAACTTGGTTAAAAACGAGCATAATATCTTTAAAAGATATTATAAAAGAATGAAAAATATTTTTAATTAATAAATAAGATTTTAAGCAAGTTAATTAAAGGCTAATAAGAAAGTAGAGTTATTATTAGTTATTATTATAATAGTAAGATGAAATATACTATTTTAATTGTTACGATTTTATAAGTTGTTTATTAAGTAAAAAGATATATATTAAAGGAATAGAAGTATAAAATACGTTAAAGCGCTCTGTGCTTCTTTAAGTTTTCGAGCCAAAACCCTAAAACCTCTCCGAAGGCTAGGAAAAAGGGGTAAGTAGGAATCGACGTTTGAATTACGAAAAGGAATTGATTAGTAATCGACTCTTAATTAAACGGGGAGAAACTGACCATGATTAAATGAGAAACTGACCGGAATTGAACTAGGAGAAATTAACTAAGATTAAACAAGGAGAAACTAACCTGGATTAATCTATATACAAATAGCATTAAAATAGGTAAGAAATAAAATTAAACGCGTTAGTAGGTAAATAGACAGACGCGTATTAAGGAGGAGTAGAGCGTACGTAATACTAGAATCCCGGATAGTTTCACTCGAAAGTATACTCTATCGAAGACTATAATACGTACGAGGGTCTAAGATAGATAAAACTAGTATTACTATACTAATCAAAAAACGAGGAATCTAATATAGTTATCGTATCTTAGCCATATCCCTTGGTAGTAGAGATATAATAGTCGCTAGCCCAAAGAAATAAGAGGTAATGGGAGAAAAGAAATAAAACGTAAAAGTTACTTATTCGGCTATAGCGGTACGACGAAGTAACTTAAGCGCTTAAAACTAAAATAGATATACTAATTAGAAAATGACAAACCTAATAGTAAAAACGAATCTTTAATTAAAATAAAAATAATAAAGGTAATAATTTAGTTAGGTAATAAATTAAATAATAAACATAGCATAGCTCATACTTACGGGAGTTATAGTTACTCTATATAGATATAAAGCCTATCGTAACGTATTACGTAATGTATTAATAGAGCATGTCCTACCGCACTACTATAGTATACTGTGGTTTTATTAAATATATCCCTTTAAAATAGGCCGTACGAATAGTTAACTAATTAAAACAGCGTTTAAGAACTTTTAGCTAATAAAAATAAAGTATCCCTTAAATAACTTTGTATTAAGAAGGAGCAGAGCGTACGCGATACTGGAGTCCCAGATAAGCTTCCTCAAAAGTATACTCTATCGGAGACTATAATACGTACGATAGTCTAAAATAGATAAAACTAGTATTACTATTATAATAGTGCGGTAAGACATGCACTTTTAATGCATTATATAATACGTTACGATAGGCTTTATATCTATATAGAGTAACTATAGCTCCTGTAAGTACGGGCTATGCTATATTTATTATTAAGTTTACTACCTAGCTAGATTATTACTTTTATTATTTTTACCTTAATTAAAGATTCGTTTTTACCATTAGATTCGTAGTTTTCTGATTAGTATATCTATTATAGTTATAGGCGCTTAAGTTACTTCGTCGTACCGCTATAACTAAATAAATAACTTTTACGTTTTACCCCTTTTCTTCCTTTACCTCTTATACCTTCGGGCTAGCGACTACTATATCTTTACGACTAAGAGGCATAGCCGAAATATAATAACTACATTAGATTCCTCGTCTTTCGATTAGTATAGCGATATTAGTTTTATCTATCTTGAATTATCGTACGTATTATAGTCTTCGATAACATGTACTTTCGAGTAAGCCTATCCGGAACTTTAGTATTGCATACGCTCTGCTTCTCCTTAGTAGCAACTACCTTATAACTTTTCGAACCTTTAACCTTTAATTTATAGAGTTTTTATTACGTTACTAGGATTTAGAGGATACCGATCGCTATCGGCGCTGCTATATAACCCGCGAAGTAGTCCGCGTTTTACGTTAAATAAAGCATCTTACCTTATGGTTATTTATTTATTATAAGGAGGTACGTATAAGCCCGGGAACTTTTATAACGATATTACCACTGCTAAGATAGCGTTTAACCCTTAAATACCGATAACGCCTTTAAAGCTATCGATACTACGATATAATACGATGACTAGACCGCGTTTATACTAATTAAAACAACCCTTATATAGTTATTTATCTATTATATAAAGGTACCTGTAAAGCCCGAAAAGCTTTCGTTGTAATACTACTATTACTAAGGATAATACCTAGCCCTCGATACTAATAGCTTTTCCGAACCGCTAATAGTATAATATATTTCGCGTGAGTAAATAACGCTTATAGCGATTAAGGCAGCCCCCTTGTAGTCGTTTATTTACTATATAAAGGACGTACGAGTACCTTAATATAAATTATAATAACTCATCCGACCCGTTACTCCCTTACTAATACTAAGGGCGAGTAAAAACTAATAATAATTATGCCTTAACCGAACTTACAATAGTTTCTTTTTCCCTCTAAGCCTATTAATCGATATAAATTAAATATATAAATATTAATAACTTATTATTCTAAAAGTATTTTGAGATACCTAGGCGTAGCGACTCGACGATATAATATACGATATAATATAGATATTAATATTAATAATATAAATAAGATTAATAGATTAATTACTATTAATAACTAATAAATTTAAGAAGAACTAGGAATTAATATTAATAAAACAACGTAGATATAAAGAATTAGGAAAATGGAATTAAAATTAAGTTAATAAGTATATCTATATATAAGCTAGCCTTATATTACTATCACGGTTTTAAGAGCTGTTCGCTAGGTAAAAGCCGTATGTTAATGAACTAAAGCTAGACGAGGAGAAAAAGGAGAAAAAGGTACGCTATATAAGCCGTTCCTATAATAACTAGCCTTATTCTTCGTAGATACTAAGGGCCTAATTACGTATTATGCCTTAGTACTAGCTAGGGCCTTACTATAGGCATAACTTATTATATAAGGTCCCTTCCCGGAAAAAAGAAGTACGCCCTACCGTCCTTTTCTTCGGCGTCTAGCCCTAATAACCTAACCCTTTTTCTTTCCGCGCCTTAGGATACGTACCGTATCTTTAGGTGCTACTTCCGTTCCCCGGGGTATGCTATTCGTTCCCCGGGTTATTAACTCCGCCGCTTAGGATATTAATATATCCCTAGGCCTCCTTCCGATTATTTCCCGGGATATTAATACCTTCCGGGTATAGCTTCCTTCCTTTCTTTCCCGGCGGTTATACTATACCCCGGGGTTTCCTCTTCTTCCGCCGTAGGTCTCCCGGGTTTCTTCGCTTACCGGGTACGTTCTTTCGGTAGTTATTCCCCCCGAGAGCCTCTCTCCCTTTCTTCTTCCTCCTAGTATATTACCGGCGCTCCGGGTATTATTTAGCCCCCCGGTATGTTATTCCCCTAGGGCCGCCGTCTCCGTTTTCGTTTACCCGGGGGCTCTTCGCGTTTCCGGATATTTCGTCCGTTTCCCGGGTTACGTTATCCGCTTCCCGGGTTATTATTTTCGTTTCCTAGGGTATTATTATTTCCCGGGGCTAGTTCCGATCTTCTTATTAAACCGTAAAACTTTAAAGCCCCGCGTACGAAGTCGCTATCGGCGCTTACTAGGTCTAGCTTAGCTTCCGTAGCTACGGGATCGTCGGTTCGTTTGCCGCCGTTTAAAGACCCTCGTTTATCTTCCGTTAGCGGAACGCGGGCTCCGTTTAAGGGCGTGCTAAGGTACGTCCTTCCTTACTCGTTTAAAGACTATCGTTTATCTTCCGCTAGCGGATCCCGTCGGAGCCGCTAAAGGACGTATTCGAATACGCCGTCCGACTTATTTAAAGATTATCGTTTATCGTATACCGCTAACGGAATTTAAAGGGCTCCGCCTAAAGGCGCGCGGAAGCGCGTCCTTTCGTCTACTACTAGCGCCTCTAGCGCTTTTATCGAAGTATTATTATTTTAACGCTGAAACCTTATCGTATTTCTCGTTATTTTAACGCCGTTCCTTCTTTATATTACGCTTCGGGCGTTCTTAATTCGTCGATAAGCGCTATACTTTAACGCTTTACTATCTTTTTCTGGAAAAAGAATTTCCGCCGTTTTTAGCCGTATTTTTCGTCGTTCTTATCTCGAAATTACCGTCTAAACTACGTTTTCTCGGGGCTATCGGTCGTTTTCTTTTCGGGTTATCTTATATCGGTCCTCGTTCGTAAGCTACTACCGGCGCGTATATTGAACAGGAGCAGCGTGGGCACGCTGACGGAGGCACGAAACGGCTACCCAACTACCAATAACTAGCCTAGTACCGATCAACCAAGATTACAGCTATAAATAGCTATAATCGGTTAATCGGCTAGCTAAAAACGGCAGCTGGGAAAAGGGGACTAGAAACGGGTAAGACGAGGATAGCTAGAAAGGCATAGCAAGAAACGAATAAATAGCTATAGGCTATAATATCTATAGGTCTAAGTCTAGCTAATGAAAATATAAGTACGCGACCTATATAAATACGCATCGAAAAGGCTACGTGGCCTAGATCCACCGCACTACTACAGCCTCCCTAGTTTAATTAATCCGCAAGGAGTAATTAAACTCCTAATACAATAAGTGCGGTGGCTCTCGTTCCCATTAAACCTAATCAACTACTAATCAACCTAATCCCGATCAACCCTAATCAACTAAAAGCTAGCCAGTTTAATCAAAGGCCAACAGGATAAGTCAGAAAGAGACAGGGTAATCCTAACAACTAGGAGCGATTATAACAGCAACAAGTAGGTAGTAGGGTAGGTAACTATAACCGTGCCTAACTATGCCTAATCCTAATCAATCCTAAACCTATTTAATCGTTACTAACTAAGAGCTAAGCTAGTTTAATTAATAATTAATAGGAAATAGGAAAGATCTAATAACAAGAACTAGGC